AGGTTATGGTGTCTTTGGGGAACTGGCTAGTGAAGGTTTCTCAGTCATTTTATGACACAAATGACTCAGATCTATTGTCATTTTAATTATCATTGTGATTGTTAAACCCCCAGCAACCAACCAGTCACCATCTTCACTGACATGAGCTGTAAATATCTAAGGGACACGGTACTGAGCACCTGTCCCTTTGCCTCGGCCCCTAGTAACCAGGCTGGGTAACGGGGAACTACTTAGGGCCCAATCCTGACAGCTGCTGAGCACCCACAATTGAGAATGAAGTCAGGGCTCAGCCCTGCTCCAGGCATTCTGAGAATTGTCTCATTGGATTCAATAGATGCAAATCCTATAGACTGAGGCCATCATGCACCTGGCCACTCCCCACTGCCCTTTGCTTCCAGTTCCCTGGAGTTTCTCCCAAGGTCTCTGTCTTTGACAGAGCTGCTGTTTTTCATTTGTAACCAGGATCCAAATTTTCCTGAACACCCCAGGTCCTGCCAGGGGTTTCCTCAGGAAATGGGGGACAAAATGTCTTTTTGCCTCTCCTTATATTTCCCAGAACTCATTGTTTTGCTCCTGAAAGGCAGGGTGACCCCTGGTTCAGCCCTACTGTTCCCCAGGATGGTGTCCCCCAAGGAGGTGCTGGGATGGAAGGAAAACACCATCCATACGCACAGCCCTGAGAAGGCTGCCGTGCCTGGCATCGTGAGTGCCAAATTAGAGACCCACCTTGGCCTTACATTCACAAGACCTGGTGACTCTGGCCCATGTCGTGGGTGTTTAGAGCTTTATATATATATATATATATTCTCTGTGTTCTGTTTGTCCTTCAATAAATTGGCTCGGCTTTGGAATAGCTGCCTGATTCCTGGCCAGTTGCGGCCACTGTCCTCAGAGAGAAAGCACAGAGCAGGGGCTGGATGTTCTCCTAGGGGAGAATCCCAGTGAGTGCAAGGGGACTGCAGCTTCACTGCCCCAGTCAGGCGGGAGTGGGATGTGGGTGTCTGCCCAGAGGGGACGGCTACAGGCCTGAGACAGGGCAGGCATTGCTGGAGCAGACCATGGTAGGGGTCAGAGGTGCCGTTACCCTGAAACCTGAAACTGTGACACTAGTGATTCAACAGGCACTAGCTGTTCTTCAGGATCCAACCCCAACTGCACAGCCAAGCCAAGGAGCCATTAACACTAGTACCAGGATTTGAAGGGAAAGCCCACTGTGACGCACAGAATGTACCAGGCCTGGGGCCCATTGCATCATGAGTTGTTGCAGGAAGTGGGTTGTAATTTGGAAATTCGCACCTAGAGGCCCCAATCATAGATTATGGCCCTACTGCGCTAGGTGCTGTACCAACACAGACAATCCATGCCACAGAGTGACTACAATGTAAGTATCAGAGACAGATACAGACTGTGACATACCCAGGGTACAATCTGGACTGATGAACTGCTGTGTTTCCTCAATTCTCCAGCCCACAGTGCCTCTTACACTGCTTTGCTGTGAGAACTACCGCTCCTGGTCTGCTTACAGTCGAGGAGTTATATATTGTATCCCACAATTTGTGATTTTTTTAATTATTATGATAACTCTGTTCTGCTTTGAAATTCTGAGAGAAAGACCCAGGTACATGAGACAGCAGCAGGGTAAATGTGTTTGATGGATCACTACAAATCTGAAGAAATACATTCAGCAGCAAAAGAGCAGCAGTGATTTCCTTCCCTTTAAAGAAAATCCAACAGCCAACAGCCAGAAAACAGCCAGGCTGGGAAAGTCACAGCTGTGTATCTGCTTTACTCACCTCAGTGGCAACAACATATCTATGAACCATGTTGTTCAATTTCTGCCACTTCCTTTCCAGGGAATTAGCTACATCCCCAACAGCTTCTCTAGCCAGCTTCTCTGGCTTCCCCACCACACTTGAATTTCTTCTTCCTATCTCAGGAGACTTTTTCCAGGCTCCCAGATGCCCCTCCTGCCACAAGAATGGACAAGTGGCTGGAGCTCCTTGGGGACTGGAGTTCTCTGCTTACCCCATACCTGGGCAATGCAAGAGACCCTATACCAACTGCCCTCACACATGCTGCCCTCAGCCAAAAGGCCCAGGCTGACCTCGGGGAGAAAAGAACTCCCCACTCCACTGAGTCCTTGGTTTCTCCCATGAGACTGATGACAAAGGGGCCAATCAGTGTGGAAGATGCTGGTTACACTTATGTGTGACGGGAGACCTGCCCCACTAGGGACCAGGCTGAGATGCCAGCACATTCCACACAGGTCCCTGAGCATCCCACATGGACATTCAGCCACTACGCGGATAGGTGGGATTTGGGTTATTAAACTGGAGCCAACCAGCCGCAGGAGCTGCTGGGGAGGAAGTAGCTTTACTAGCTCAGAGCCCAAACAGACTCTTTTTTACTTTAGTTCCCCACCAGCTCAGGAGCAGGGACTGGCAGAGATTGTGGGTGAGGGAGAGATGTTTGTGTCTCTGTTTCTCATCTCTTCCTCCAAAGAGATCTGGTGAAAAATGGCAGGTCCCAGCCCAGGTGGAGAAGTTTCTCTAGGTAACACAAACAGACCAGGAGAGGGAAGGGCTGTGCCAGAAGCTGAGCACAGAATGTGACTGTGCAGTCAGAGGCAGCCTGAGCATTTTAGAGCAGGCCTGAAAAAATCATTATTTTCATTCCCACCATGTACTCAGTTCCTGTCCACTGTGATCACCTGACTACACAGGGCTGGCCAGTGATTGTGGGGAGGGTCAGTGAGAAGATCATTAGACAAACTTTACTGTTGTGTTTTCCCTGTATGTAGCTCTGTCCCTGTCCTCCTCTCCCAGGCTCATAATGCCGAGAAAAAGTCTGGTCAGGTGGTTTAGCTGTTCACTTGGAAGGCTCAGGTTCAGTTCCCTGCTCTGTGACCGTATTCCTGTGTGACGTAAGGCAAGTCACTTATCCGCTTTGTGCCAGATGTTCCTCTCTCTGAAATGGGGTAACAGCACTTCCCCCACCTCCCAGGCGTGTTGTGAGTCTAAGCCCTTGGCACTGGGAGTAGGGGCAGATAAGAACCTTCAATAGTCAGAAATGCAGCCGTTTCATTTCCACAGTAAATCACACTGGGGTTGTCACAAACTCTCCCGATTTCATCTTGAGTCTATGAGTGCCTGGTGCTTTTCTTAAAGCCCCAACTCTGGGAATCCTGTGATGCCGTGTGAATCTCAGCTCTCATTTCCGTACCATGAGAAGCTTCTTGCTCTCCTGGCTCGGTAGAAAAGCCTGAGAATGTGACCAGAGTGAAACCTCGTCACTCAGAGACAAACAAACAAAAAGTCCAATCTCGTGATTTTTGAGCACTGGGTGCTGGGCTGGCAGTTACTGCCTTGGCATTGATCAGTTGATGTTTTGGCTTGAGTTCTCCAGCTAAGGCCCTAAATAGAAAAACAAATATTCTCCATTATCTTTTTCATGGGTAGCCGGTGGCCAGCCCCTTCTTCCTGAGGCCCCGCCGCTCCTGCTGGAGCCCAGAGCCCCCCCACATGTGGCAGCCAGCCTTCCCCCTCCTCCCCCCCAGCCACCCCAGCACCCCTAGCCCCGGAGCACCAGGCGGGTGAGTGGGTGGCACGTCCCCCCCCCAGAGTGCTGGGTGGGTGGGCAGTGCGCCTCCTCCAGCCCCGGTGTGTCCCCCCCATCCCCAGGTGGGAGGACAGGTGGCACAAACCCGCCAGGCTGGAGCTCCAACCATGGGGGGGAAGAACCCCCAACAGCACAGCCTGAGAAACAGGAAGGGGTCTGGGGGAGAAGCAGGGGTGGGGCCATGCAAGGCTGTTTGGGAAGACACAGCCTCCCCGTCCCTTTGATACCCGCTGCCCATGATCTTTTTAGTTCATCCCCAGTTCAGCGGGTCTGTGCTCATTTCCTGCTTGGGGCCCACAGCCCAGCTCTGTGCGCACGCCCTTACCTTCGCCTCTCTATTTCCCTTTCTGTAGACTGGGCTATTTTAGACAATGACAATGCTCCTTTAGGGGGGCTCGCCTTGGGGAACTGATAGAGAGTTAAGGCCTGAATTCTCACTGACTGCTGGAATCCCCCTTTCCACTCAGCCAGAGCAGCCTTCAGGTAAATGAGAATCAGGCTTTTGAAACATTGATTCTGCCTTAACCAAGTTTTTAGCCTGTGAATTTAACATCCCTCCTTAGACCACAGCCCCTGCTTCTGCAGACTCAGGATCACAGGGGGCCGGTGCTGCGGGGCCCGAGCCGGGCCGGGACCGGGGCCAGTGCTGCGGGAGCCGGGCCGGAGCCTCTCGGCCGGACCTGGACCGGCGCCATGGGGCCCGGGCCGGGCTGGGCCGGAGTCACTCGGCCGGGACCGGGACCGGTGCCGCGGAGCCCGAGCCGGAGCCGCTCGGCCGGAACCGGTACTGCAGGGCCCGAGCCGGGCCAGGGCTGGGACTGGGCTGCGGCGCTCAGCGGGGGCCAGGCCAGGGGTCCGGGCCGGAGGGAGCTGCTCGGCTGCAGTCGGACTGGGCCGCGCTAAGCCTCCCTGGAGCCCTCCTCACGCCCCGCCCCCCAGCTTACCTGCCTGCTGCTTGTTTCAGGCTTCCCGGGAACATCTGATTCACAGGAAGCAGGGGAGGGGGAGGGGGAGGAGAAGGGGGCGGAGCGTTCAGGGGAGGAGGGGGAAGTGAGCTGGGGCCCGGGTCGGGGTGGACAGCTGCCTGAGCTTTTGTTAAATGTAAAAGTCCTTTTAGAACCGGTTGTCCTGGAACAACCGGTTCTAAAAGGGCTTCTAAATTTAACAACCGGTTCCTGCGAACCGGTGGGAACCGGCTCCAGCTCACCACTGCCCCTGTCCTAGTGGCACATTTTTCATTAAAGCCTCCAAGGTTGAAATTCACAGTGGGCTGCTTCCTGCTCAGGAGTCAGTTCCAGGAAGGGAAACACCCAATTGCTGCTGCTGCAGGCGGGACATATCTCTGAGCTCAGGAAAGTGAAACTAACCCTGTTACACTGTCCAGAGGAGCCATGGCTGCAGAGAACCCCGTGGAAAGTCTCCAGGAGGAAGCTACATGTCCCGTCTGTCTGGAGTATTTCACAGAACCTGTCACTCTGGAGTGTGGGCACAATTTCTGCAGAGTCTGCATCAGCCAGTGCTGGGAGGGATTCGATTCAGCCGCCTCCTGCCCTCAGTGCAGAGAAACTGTGCAACAGAGAAACCTCAGGCCGAACAGGCAGCTGGCAAATGTTGTAGAAATCACCAAACGGCTGAGTTTACAGGCAGCAAGAGGGGACGGGGTTTGTGGGGAACATCAGGAGGCTCTGAAACTGTTCTGTGAGGAGGATCAAACTTCAATCTGTGTGATCTGCAGAGAGTCCCAGGCTCACCGCGCTCACAAGATAGTTCCCATACAGGAAGCTGCCCAGGAGTACAAGGTACAGAGTTGCTGTCCAGTCTAATGGGTAATAACTTTGGATTTCAATGACAGGTTAGTGGCATCACAACTTCCCTGACAGATGTAACTGCATCATCTCGTTGTGTGTAGCCTTCATTGCATGAAAATTGATATACACATAAATGATACTCCAGCCTGGCAAGAAAGGCAATAGATGAAGATTTTAAATTTGTCTGATGTGGGAAAGTTTTATGTGAGAAGCTGAATCCTTTTCAAACCCACCCACTCTATTTAATATCTTGCATTTTGACTATAAAACACCCCCTACACAGACAGTCATCCCTCAAAATAAACCCACCAAATCATTTCTGTTTGTCAGGAAAAAATCCAAGCCCATTTGCAGACTCTGCGGGAAGAGAGAGAAAAGCTGCTGGGATTTAAAGTGACTGGAGAGAAGAGAAGCCAGGAGTATCTGGTAAGTGCCTGTTGTTCTGCACCTGCTGGGACATGGAGGTGGGAGGTTTGCTTGTTGGTATATTTCTCTGTGCTGTGGGGAATGTGGGCTTGTGTGTGTTTCTCTGTGATCATGGAGTATTCTGTGTGTCTGTGGGTGTGTGTATCACAAATGTTCTCTCCCTGGAGAAGGACAAAAGCATCTTCTGCAGCATCTAAGATGTATTTTAATTAATGAGTTAATCACGATCCCTTTTGGTTTTCACAAAACTTCTCCCAAACTGCCCTGATTATATCCCAGCAGTGCTGTGTCCCGGCGTCTGCCATCATCTCTTTTATTTGTTAATCATTTTATTATTTTTTCTCCCCTGATAATTCTAGCAATGTGCTGAATCCTGCTGCCCTGGATCTGGATTCTCAGGGCCTCTGGGCCCTGCTTAGCAGAGTGGGGCTCATGGGGCTCACAGTGAAGCACTAAAAATAACTGCATAGATGGCGCTTTTCAGCTGCAGCTCGGGCTCTGAAGTCCAACCCCCTTCCTCACTCCCTCCCTCACTAGGCTTCAGAGTCTGAGCTCCAGGCCCAATGTCTACACACTGGTAGCACGAGCCCCAAGAGCCTGAATCTGTTGCACTGAGCTTGGAGGCTCCCTGCTGTGAGCTGTGTAGCTGTACCCTCAGGGGCCATTGGTAACACAGTGTCCGAACCACGTCAGACATGGAGACATCCCTTTAAGGGATATTGGGGCCAAATGGGAAGCAGTAAGAAAATCCTCTCCCGTGTGAGCACAACGTATAGTCGAGTGTTAGGATGTGAATGATCACAGGTTTCAAACCCCAGTCCCCTGGTCCCAGACTGTCATCACAACCCGACAGCTCTCCGGAACCAGCAGGGGAGGGGCTAGTGGAACTCTGGCCTACCAGAGGATCTGCCTAAGAAGCTCCTCATTGGAGCAGGCATTTGGATGCATGAATTATGCCAGCAGGAGTCACAGGAAGTTGTCCAAACAACTGAGTGAACTCCCAATCTGCTGCTGGACTGGACCCTGACTCTGGCTTGACCCTGGCATTGTTCCTGGCTCAGGTTTGCCCTGCTGTACTGCTCTCTGACTCTGGCTGGGCCCTTTGTGTGGCTTGCCTGACTCCGACTCCAGTCCTACCCCCCCCCCCCCCCCGTGTGACTCCAGACACTGATTCTGGCTCAGCCTTTGGTATGACTCCTGATCTCAACTGTGGCCCCAACCTTGGTGAGATCCTGACTCTGACTCCAGGCCTAACTCTGGCTTTAGTTCCTGGCTTCCAACCACAGCTCTGACCAGTAGGTATGACTGCTCATTCTCTGGTCCCTATGCAGATGTCTTAGAAATTGTAAAGAAATTCTGTCTTGTAAAACTGTATTAAAGGCCATCAGGCTCCATCCATGCTCCTGACCAGCTCTTTCCTTATTTCTTATAGAAACAGACAGAAACCGTGAGACAGAAGATTGTGTCTGAATTTCAGGAACTGCGGCAGGTCCTGGAGGAACAAGAGCGACTCCTGCTGGCTGGGTTGGACAAGCTGGACAAAGAGATTCTGAAGAAACAAAATGAAAATGTCACTAAACTCTCCGAGCAGATTTCCCGTCTCAGTGAGCTGATCAGTGAGTTGGAGGGGAAGTGTCAGAAGCCAGTGAGTGAATTCCTGCAGGTGAGATTGAGTGAGAAACATCTCAGGTCCCCACACAGGGAAGGGAGGGCTCCTGAATCATAAGCACTGGGGCCAGCAGTCAGAGATCTCAGGGTAACTCAGCGTGTGCGTACCTGACATGTGAGTGACTATTGTTCTTTGCAGAGTTACAGACACAGAGATATTACTGAAGGAAAAGCCCCATTACCTCAGGGAATCCATGGCCCTGGGGCCATGGCAGGGCCTCTCTTCCCCTTACTTGCCAAATCCCTTCTCTGGGATCCCCTGTGTGTGTCCATTGGGACTGAGATTTTCTCTTTCTCTCCCCTCTAGGATGTCAGAAGCACCTTGAGCAGGTATGTGGCTCTCTCTCACTCCCCCTCACACTTCACAACACTGGGAAAGAGTTTGGAGATGATGTTAGCACCACATCTCCACAGGGCGAAAATGTGTGAGGAAGGTCACATACTGGACACAAATCTCTCTGATCAACTTCATCTTGAGGTTCTCACCAATGTTCCCTCTAAGCTGTGTGGCCACCCAAGAGTCAATCAAGTGCCACGCACTGATTAGCAGAGCCGCACACCTCCGGCAACGTGTGTTCAGGTGCCCCCAGTCCCCGCTGCTCTGCAGCCGCGTTGCTCCTGCCCTCTGCCTTGCAGCTCCTGGCCAGCTGCTCCTGGGAGGAGGGGAGGGGGGTGCTGATGTCAGGATGTCCCCCTCCCCCCACGCCTATGTACCCCATCTCTGCAGTGCGGGGGGGACAGGTCTCAGGAGCAGGATGGAGCTGCTGGGAGCTGCTGCGGTCTGAGCGAGCCTTCTGGTGACTGCCTCTCCACTTGAAGAGACAGCGCACGGTCTCTCATACACTTCCCCAGCAGCCAGCACACACTCACTCTGCCTCTGTCTCTGACACACATACACCCACACTGTCTGTGTGTGTGTGTGTGTGTCTCTCTCTCTCTCTCTCTCTCTCTCACACACACACACACACACACACACACACACTCTGTCTCTGTGTCCCTCCCTCTCACACACACACTGTGTCCCTCCCTCTCACACACACACTGTGTCTGTGTCTCTCTCACACACATACACACTCTGTCTCTGTGTGTGTGTGTGTCTCTCTCACACACACACACACTCTGTCTTTCACACTCACCTCCCAACACATACTTGTGTCGTTGTTGTTGTTACTCCTTGGTACTTCCTGCAATACACATCAATTCTCTTTATTTTTATTCTTTCAAAGTGCTGTTATTTGAGATTTTTGACTGGTCTCTGAATTTCATAATTTTATTTCTCTATTATGCTTAAATTTTATTCTTTGAATAGTGAGTTCTAATATGCCTAACCTGTCCTGGCTGCAGTAATTTTCCATATGGTAACTTTTAAAAAATATATATTGTATCTAGGTTTTTTGTTTCTACTGGTGGCGCAGATCTGCACATTATGTCAATATTGGTACACATAACAAAATTCATTCCACACATTGATGGTAGAAATTGGATGGAACACTGGTTCTCACCATTTTATAGAAGACTCTGGAATTATCCATTCAGTGGGAAAGACTGACCTCAATTATTTCCTACAGCTGTCACGTCCCTGGGGGACTGGCTGTCTCAGGATTGTGGGGATGGAATACGGGCCTGTTACTGCTGGTTACCATTTAGCCCTGGGCAGCAGTGGTCAAGAGTCTTTCCCACCTGTGGACTGTTTGGAGACCTGTATGGAATGAGCTGGGGAGTGGGGAGTTGGTGTCACAGTCTAGTTCCCAGTGGACAGATTTCTATAACACTCAATGTGGGAACCTCCTGTCCATCAGAGCCTGGAGGCAATGGAGTGAACTGGACATAGAGACTCAATTCCCCTCTTATCTCCAGAGATGATCTCTCCAGGCCAGAGTTGAAGAATAATAATGGGTCCTTTGGGAGATAAGGTTACATTGCCATGGTCTGTGCTGCTCCTGCTCTGAGGCTGGGAGAAGCAGAGGAATTCTAACTCCAGGCCCATTAGAGCAGCGACTCACTAGCGAGAACTTTTAATGCGTCACTACATGAAATATAATCATGAGAAATTATTTCTCTCCAGGTGTGAGAAGGGGAAGTTCCAGCAGCCAGAGGAGATTTTTCCTGAACTGGAAAAGAGACTCGGTGATTTATCCAAGAAAACTATTGCTCTAATGGAGACTCTGAGGAGGTTCAAAGGTACCGAGAAGGGATCTAGGAAAGGAAATTGGGATGAGCCTCTGAGATTGTGGGAGGAGAATGGCTCTGGCCAATTGGTTCATAATTAGATTATGCTTCTATTTAATTGTTGGGTGACAATGTCAGACACTTGGGGTCCAATTAATTAATTCTAACTTTTACTTGTACCAAAAATATGCCTTGACATTACAATTACTATTAAAGTAAGAAAAGACTCATAGACTTTCAGGTCAGAAGGGACCATCATGATCATCTAGTCTGACCTCCTGCACATTGCAGGCCACAGAACCTCACCCACCCGCTCCTGTAATTGACCCATACTGAACTGCTCAAATCATGATTTAAAGACTTCAAGTTACAGAGAATCCACCATTTACTCTAGTTTAACATCTGCAAACGATCTGTGCCCCATACCTCAGAGGAAGGCAAAAAACCCCAGGGTCTCTGCCAATGTGATCTGCTGGAAAATTCCTTCCCGATCCCAAATATGGTGGTCAGTTGGATGCTGAGCATTTCAGCAAGACCCAACAGCCAGACACCTGTGAAAGAGTTCTCTATAACTCAGAACCCTCCCTGTCTAGTGCGCCATCACCAGCCATTGGGATATTTCCCACTAGCCATCGCATACAGAAAGAAGTGATGGTCAGTTGCCTTCTCCTGGAGTATTGTCAGGTCACGGTGGATTTTTACTATGAAGTTCCGACTACCTCTGACAATGTCAAACATAATATACACATCTGAATTATATATTTATTAGTTCTTTTCCAATCACCTTTGAGTGTTATGAATATTAACAATACACATGAATGAACTTTTTCAGTGGCAGGGCTTTTTTTGTCAAAGATATTTTTATATTATTCTCTTTTCTGATTGGTTTATTATCACTGATTATGCATAGGTCACTTTATCACTTTTCTCCACACTGTGGTTTTTGGACTTTGCTAACTGCTCCTGGGCAGTACATTTTGGGTGTCTGTTGTCTTTAAGCACATTGTGTGGTCAGATCATCTCTTTGTCCCACATAGAGAATTATGAACACACCACTTTACAATAAGGTCACTTAAGGCAACATTTCCTGTATGCCAAGCAAACTGCTCACCAGGCAAAAGCCAAGTCAGTCAGTGCAAACGCACAATCTCCGTCTGTCCAAACTGCTGCATATGAAATGACCCTTGTACCAATTCTCAATATTTAACCTAATAACTAGTGGAAAGGTGACAAATGGAGCAGGTGAAGCAGGGTCCCAGGTGTCAGGATGTCTCCCATTAATTCATGACTTACCAAATTAAAAAAATTAAGGCCCAAATGTAGCAAAATAGCTGAATTTGGGGCACCTGAGTTTCTCTCCCAACTAGAGAGCTGCAGGGCAGGTGCTCCAGAGCTGTGCAGCCTCCACAGCTGCAGGTGGAGTCAGTGGGAGCTGCAGGTGCCCAAACCCTCTGAGAACCAGGCCCCAGGTACCTAAAGGTCAGTACCCAAACTCTAGACCCTAAATTAAAGGCCGTTTGTTAAAGCTGGACCTAGCCCATCACTGTGCTCTGGTCCCGTACGGCAGCTAGTCTGGGCAAAATGGGCTGCGGGGAAGGAGAAAGCCCCTCCCCCACGGTGCGGGATCCCTCCAGCACAGGAGCCTCTTGTGCCTCCTCCACAGCAGCTGCAGGCACAAGGCGTGTTCCTGAGAGGGCTGGGAATGGGGTGGGGGTGGTGAGGGCGGGTGGAAGAGGGAGGGGGTGGACGACAGACAGAGGGACGTGGGCAGTGTAAAGCTGGGCCTCTGACACTCTGCACGCTGGGCAAGACACACAGGGCCCATTGTCATAGGGATGTAACTCTGGCTGGCTTCAGAACTTCCTCAGCCTGTGCCAAGGTCTGCACCGGCCCCTGCAGCCACTGAACAGCGGAGTCACAAATGGCCCCTCCCCTCTCTCCTTTAGCCGGTACAGGGGTGAATCTGGCCCATGGAGCCAACCTTCCCCCTGCCTCAATTTCCACATGGATAAAATGATTTTATTATTATTCCTATTTCTGCCTATGAAAGACGAGGGCCCCATTGTGGTGCTCTCTGTAGAGACTCTGTGCAAACAGAAGCAGCGGGATCGGGGGTGATGTGGGCGGGGGGCGCTGAGCTCAGGGGCAGCGGGGACCAGGACTGGAACCCAAGGCCCCACGGCCAGATCCTAGGGTCCCGCAGCTGGAGCCTGGGGCCCCGTGGCTGGGAGATGCAGCCTAGGGCCAGAGCCCGCTGCCACACGGCCGAAGCCCATGGTTGGAAGAGGCAGCGGGGGCCAGGGGTGATGCAGGGGGGTGGTGAGCCCGAAGTCCCACAGATGGAGCCCAGGGTCCCACAGCCAGATCCCAGGGCCCGCTGCCATGGGGAATGGAGCCCCATGACCAGAGCCTGCTGCTTGCCATCCCAGGACTGAAGCCCAGAGCCCGAGCCCCACTGCCCCTGGGAAGGTGGGAAACTCACACCGGCTGCCTGCTCCTCCAGCGTGTGTGTCTGCAGAGGAGGGCAGAGTCCAACACCTACTGGTGGCCCTACTACTTTCCCCCCTGCTGCCCCCAATCACCGCACAGGAGGCTGTAGCTGCAAGAAAAGCCCTTCGTGGCCTTATGTGGCTCCTGATGGCCGAATTTGAGAAACACTGGTCTAGGCAGGGCCAGTGATTCCACTAGGCGACCCTAGGCGGTTGCCTAGGGCAGCAGGATTTGGGGGGTGGCATTTTGCCACCCTCGGCGGAAATTTGGCGGCGGGTCCTTCACTTGCTCCGGGACCTGTCGCCGAAGTGCCCCGAAGACGTGGAGCGGAAACACCCCCGCCGCCGAAGACCCCAGGCCCCCTGAATGCTCAGAGGAGGAGCGCTGCTGCCTAGGGCGGCAAAAACCCTGGTGCCGCTCCTGGGTCTAGGTTATGACAAAAGGCAGTAAGTGAATGAGACAAACCAACTAGAGTCTGAAGGGAGGGAGGGGATGAGGAGGGGAAAAGTAAATCTCACTTACAGATTGTCTGTCCTGGGATGGTTGTGAGGCTGCAAGGATGTTGGTTCCATTGCTGAGAGATGCCCAAATGAGAGAGAAAATAGAAGGTTTCAGATCATTTTATACTAAATACCTGAGGGTATGTCTACACTACGAGAGTAGTTCGATTTTAGTTAAATCGAATATGTGCAATCGATATTAGAAAGTCGAACGTGTGTGTCTACACTAAGGACAGTAATTCGACTTTGTGAGTCCACACTAACGGGGCAAGTGTCTACATTGGAAGCGGTGCACTGTGGGCAGCTATCCCACAGTTCCCGCAGTCCCCGCTGCCCATTGGAATTCTGGGTCGATCCGCCAATGCCTTCTGGGTAAAAAAATGTGGCGAGGGTGCTTTTGGGTAACTGTCGTCATCCGTCAGTCACTACCGCCCTCCCTCCCTCCCTGAAAGCGCCGGCGGGAAATCAGTTCGCGCACTTTTTGATCAGTGACAGCGCGGACGCCACAGCACTGCGATCATGGATCCCGCTGCGACCATCGCTGCAGTTGTGGCCGTTCTCAACGCCTCACAGCTTATCATACACCTTTCCCAGAGGCAGATGCAGAGAAATCAGGCGAGGAGGCTACGGCACCGCCGTGAGGGCCTGAAGTCGGAGAGTAGCACAGAGCTGTCAGAAACCACGAGCCCCAGCGCCCAGGACATCACGGTGGCAATGGGGCATGTGGATTTTGTTGAACGGCGATTCTGGGCCCGGGAAACAAGCACGGACTGGTGGGACCGCATAGTGCTGCAGGTCTGGGATGAATCCCAGTGGCTGCGAAACTTTCGCATGAGGAAGGGGACTTTCCTCGAACTTTGTGAGTTGCTGTCCCCTGCCCTGAAGCGCAAGGACACCCGCATGCGAGCAGCCCTGACTGTCCAGAAGCGAGTGGCCATAGCCCTCTGGAAGCTTGCAACGCCGGACAGCTACCGGTCAGTCGCGAACCACTTTGGCGTGGGCAAATCTACCGTGGGGGTTGTTGTCCTGCAAGTAGCCAAGGCAATCGTCAAGGTACTGCTGTCAAAGGTAGTGACCCTGGGAAACGCGCAGGCCATCATAGATGGCTTCGCAGCGATGGGATTCCCAAACTGCGGTGGGGCTATAGATGGGACTCACATCCCTATCCTGGGACCGGGCCACCAGGCCAGCCAGTACATCAACCGAAAGGGCTACTTTTCAATGGTGCTGCAAGCACTGGTGGACCATCGGGGACGTTTTACAAACATCAACGTCGGATGGCCGGGCAAGGTTCATGACGCTCGCGTGTTCAGGAACTCTGGTCTGTTTAGACGGCTGCAGGAAGGCATTTACTTCCCGGACCACAAGATAACTGTTGGGGATGTGGAGATGCCTACAGTGATCCTCGGGGACCCAGCCTACCCACTAATGCCCTGGCTCATGAAGCCCTATACTGGCGCCCTGGACACTGCACAAGAACTCTTCAACTACCGGCTGAGCAAGTGCAGAATGGTCGTGGAGTGTGCTTTTGGCCGTCTCAAGGGGAGATGGAGAAGCTTACTGACTCGCTGTGATCTCAGCGAAACCAATATCCCCATCGTTATTGCAGCTTGCTGTGTGCTCCACAATCTCTGTGAGAGCAAGGGGGAGACCTTTATGGCGGGGTGGGAGGTTGAGGCAAATAGCCTGGCTGCTGATTACGCCCAGCCAGACAGCCGGGCGATTAGAAGACCCCAGCGGGACGCGCTGTGCATCCGGGAGGCTTTGAAAGCCAGTTTCAAGACTGAGCAGGGTACCCAGTGACTTTTAAGTTTGTGGACACAGAAGCTGAACTTGCCCCCGTTTCTTTACCCGGTTGCCGTCGACTATCCTCTCCAGTTACATACCCCCTTCACCCCCTTCCCAAAAAATAAAATCTGTTCTGTTTTGTTAATGGACACCGTTGTCTTTATTACTGTTTTCGCGGGAATGTTTTAAACCTGGGACGCAGACTGTGGCATAAGATCTGTAACTGCCCTCCCCCGCCACAAAGTGACAGAGCAACCCCCCCTCCCCCCCAGGACATGAAAACCACCTCCCAGACTGACCAGGGTAACTAGTCACTGCGCTGTATATGTGCCCTGCTGCTGGACCTGCCCCCTGCTAAAGGTGACTGTCCTGTCCAATTACCAAGCCCCTTCCCCCCCCCTTCAGACAGACTCTCCTCCAAAAGAAGAGGATGGAAACAGTAATGAACAGAAACGTATTTTTTATTAACAACCGCACATGGAACGGGGGGGTGAAACTTGGACGGGGTCTTGTGTGAGGCGGGTAGGAAAGGACTTTTCAAATTTTGGGGAATGAGAGCCTTCTAGTGGTAGAGCAGTCCGCAGGGGTGGAGTGAAATTTTTCACGGACCCTGCCGCCCCTCCGTGTTTGGACTTTGGGTGAGGGGGGTATGGGACTTGGTGGCGGGGCAGGGCAGTTAGAGAGAGACTGCAGCGGGGCTCTCTCCTCCTGCCTCCGGTCCTGCAGAACATCCACAAGGCAGCGGAGCGTGTCCGTTTGCTCCCTCATTAGTCCAAGCAGCGTTTGAGTAGCCTGCCAGTCCTCCTGTCGCCACCTCTCCTCCCGTTCAATGTTTGCCCGGTGCATTTGGGACAAGTTCTCCCTCCACTGTGTCTGCTGGGCTGCTTGTGCTCGGGAGCATCCCATTAGTTCAGCAAACATGTCTTCCCGTGTCCTCTTCTTCCTCCTCCTAATGTGCGCTAGCCTCTGGGCAGATGTGGCTGTGGGAATTGGAAAAAGGGAGTGAATTCCTGAGACAGATCAATGTATCTGTGAACAGAGAACATAGTCTTTCTCTGTGAACAAGACCATGCAGAGCACCTATCACACGCGCACTGAGGACAAGGTCGAATTTTCAGCCCTCGCGTACAGTGCCTGCGGTCTTGCTGTGGCGAGCTGAGGAGCGGGGCAGGACACCGGACTTTGTCTAGCTGGCAAACATGGTAAGCCGTAGACTTGGGGCTGCTTAAAACTTTAAGAGTGGCACTGGCCTCCTTTCACATAGAAAGCAATGCGAGTCTCTGCTGGCAGCAATCCTGCAAGCATGAACTCTGCCCCTGTCCCAGCCCCTCGCGGCTGTAAACCGCGTGGCTGTAAACCGGCGGTTGCAGTTCTGTAAAGGGACGGGCAAGCAGTCCCAATACTAACTTTCCCCTACCTAATTCACAGCAGGGAGTCATGCCAGACATCACCCTCCTGAAGGTCTCGGAGAGCCAGAAGGAGCGGATGCTTCGTGACAGCCTGCAGAAACCGGGGCCATTTGCTGCAATGCTCTGCAAGGCCATGATCCCCGAGTACCTGCTGGCGTTGTGGCAGGGAAACGTCTCATACCACGGGGGGCCTAATAAGCTCTCCCTGCCCAGGAACCTGCTCATGAGGCTTGAAAAACACCTGCAGGAGGCCTATGAGGAGTTCTCCCCGGAGGATGTCGCCTCTATCCCCGGATACATTGACCAGTTTTTGGCTTAGGTGCCCTTGGAGGGACAAAAGAGTGGAGCGTTTTGGGCAGTATAATCATGAAGCGGACATTGTGAAATTTTTTGAAAATAGTTCGGACTATATATTGAAGCGCCCAAAGACAGACTAATCATGATACCCTTTGCACATATTCCCGTTTTGTTGGACTTTACTCTTTACATGTTTTGAAGCACTTTACCCATTGTTAATATTTTAAATCTTCCTGTTCTGTTATAAATAAATGTTTACATGTTTGAAAGCACTTTAGCTATTGTTAATATTTTAAATATGCCAGTTATGTTATAAATAAATGTTTAGATATTTAAAACACTTACTGCTTGATCCTTCCCCTGAATCTGTGTCTGGGATAACGGCTGGGGAGGGTTGGTAGGGGATCTCTGTGAGGGTGATGAAGAGCTCCTGGCTGTCGGGCAAATCAGCGTTGTAAGCGCTGTCGACTGCCTCGTCCTCCTCATCTCCTTCCTCCTCTTCCCCGTCCGCTGAGGAACCGGCCGCGGACAATATCCCATCCTCAGAGTCCACGGTCACTGGTGGGGTAGTGGTGGCAGCCGCACCTAGGATGGAATGCAGTGCCTCGTAGAAACGGGATGTGTGGGGCTGGGATCCGGAGCGTCCGTTTGCCTCTTTGGTCTTCCGGTAGCCTTGTCTCAGCTCCTTGATTTTCACGCGGCACTGCGTTGCATCCCGGCTGTATCCTCTCTCTGCCATGGCTTTAGAGATCTTCTCATAGATCTTTGCATTCCGTCTTTTGCAGCGCAGCTCGGAAAGCACGGACTCATCTCCCCACACAGCGATGAGATCCAAGACTTCCCGATCAGTCCATGCTGGGGCCCTCTTTCTATTAGATTGCACGGCCATCTCTGCTGGAGAGCTCTGCATCGTTGCCACTGCTGCTGAGCTCGCCACGGTGTCCAAACAGAAACTGCGATTCAAACTGCCCAGACAGGAAAAGGAATTCAAATTTTCCCGGGGTGTGGCTGGTCAGAGCATCCGAGCTCGGACTGCTGTCCAGAGCGTCAACAGAGTGGTGCACTGTGGGATAGCTCCCGGAGCTATTAGCGTCGATTTCCATCCACACCTAGCCTAATTCGACATGGCCATGTCGAATTTAGCGCTACTCCTCTCGTTGGGGAGGATTACAGAAATCGATTTAAAGAGAGCTCTATGTCGAACTAAATAGCTTCGTTGTGTGGACGGGTGCAGGGTTAAATCGATGTAACGGCGCTAAATTCGACATAAAAGCCTAGTGTAGACCAGGCCTGAGTGTGTCTCTGGGCCTCTGTCTGTTTCTCTGTCACAGTTATGAGAGTTCAGAGTGGAGATGCTGTTATAAATATGAAAGCCTGAAATCTCGTCTCTTTTCTCCTTTCCATCGCCAGACACTCTGCCGTCTGCACTGGAGACAAGAAGAGGGGAATCCCTAGGAGCACACAGACAGGGTGAGATTGCAGCTGGAGATTGTCTTTAAATTATGAGAAAATTCCAGTGAAAACGTCTTCATGAGATTGTAGCCAAAGTTGCCAACCAAACCAACGCCGACCATGGTACCCACAGCCCTAAAAATAACACATTAAACTGTGGGGAGATCCCAGGCTGAAGTCACACATACACTCCTGAGACCATCCTTAGTGCTGAGTTCATGCCCACGCTGATGAACAGAAATACTCACTGAGCAGCACCCGAACAGAGCTCTCTGCCATGAGGGCTGACACAACCTGCTGCTTTACCCTGGTGCAGGGGGTCTCCCCATCACTGTTCTCCAACATCCTGCCTTTCCTTTGGGCACGGCTGGGCTCTCCCATTGGAGCTGCTCCCTAGACTGGGGAGATGCTCTCCCTGTGATGCTGCCAGCTCCTCCCTTCTTTCTGGGCTGGGGATGGGGCTACCCCAGCCAATGCTTCCTCCTACTCTCTGGTCTTCAGCAGCTCTTCCCCAATGCTGCACCTTCCTCTCTGTTCCCTGGCCTGGGAGTGGAGGCTGCATTAGGGGACGGAGGTTGCCTCAGGGTTTAAAGCTGGTACCTGCCTCCTCTGCTACCTCCTCAATAAAAGCTTCTGACACCTTCCTGGCGGTGTCTGTGCTGCTAGGAATGGAGCAGCCCCAGCAGAGGGGGAACGGAGCTGAAGCTTCTGGAAGCAAATGAGAAACAGAGTGAGGAGCTGCAGTGACAGCTCTGCTCAGACTCAGGTACCCAGGACAGAGGCAGCTCCCTGGGATCCAGGGCCTGTCCCAGCCAGAACGGGGCTGCTGGGGAGTGTGAGAAATGGTCCCAGGCTCCCCCAGGGCTTAGCTCTGCCCCTCACGCTCTGATTCTCTCTCCCCGCAGCGAATGTGACTCTGGATCCAGACACGGCTCACCCCGAACTCGTCCTGTCTGAGGATGGGAAAAGTGTGAGACGGGGAGACACACGGCAGCGACTGCCCAACAACCCTGAGAGATTTGACACTGTGCTCTGTGTGCTGGGCTGTGAGGGATTCACCTCGGGGAGACACTGCTGGGAGGTGGAGGTGGCGGGTGGGGGAGGCTGGGCTGTGGGGGTGGCCAGAGAGTCTGTGGGGAGAAAGGGAGGGATCAGCCGTCGCCCTGAGTGGGGGATCTGGGCTGTGGAGCAGTGGGGGGGTCAGTTCCGGGCTCTCACCTCCACTGCTACCCCCCTGCCCCTCAGCCGGTTCCCCAGCAGGATCCGGGTTTGTCTAGACTGTGACCGGGGGCAGGTGACATTTATCGATGCTGGTGATGAGGCCCCGATCTTCACTTTCCCGCCAGGCTCTGTCCCTGGGGAGAGAATCCAACCGTGGCTCGGGGTGTGGCCAGGATCCCAGCTCAGCCTGTGTCCCTGAGACCCAGGGAGGGGGGGGAAATATTCCACTGGGGACCCTGAGATCAGCCTCTCTCGGCTCACACACTCAGGGCCAGCTCCAGGCTCCAGCTTTCCAAGCAGGTGCTTGGGGCGGCATTCAGAATGGGGCGGCAGTCCGTGTCCCGCGGCGGCAATTCGGCGGGAGCTCCGCCGCTCTTCCGGGCGCGGCGGCAATTCGGCGGTGACTGCTTGGGGCAGCAAAATTGGTAGAGCCGCTCCTGCACACACCCCAGTCTCTGTGACCACTGCCTGTGGACTTTTTATCATATTGTCTCTATGACCCTGGAGGTTGCAGCCTCTGGACTGTCAAACCATAGAGATCATTCAGTGAGTGAGGCCAGTCTCATCACTGCCCCAGGGATTGTGCAGCCTGTTTGCCACTGTCCTCTATGGTCCAGGAGGACTCTGGGGATCCTGGGTCAGACAGTGCCACTGAGACATGTGGAGGGAGGGGGGGAACAGCCCACTGGGAATGAAACAATGGGCTTCTCTAGCCACAGTCATCCTAGCCCCTATGGCCTGGAGGACTCCTGTCTTCCCAACCATCTGGCCTCTTAGCTCTATGGCCCCTGGAAGCTCCTCCCCCTCCCTCCCTGCAGCATCAGGGATGGGAGGGGATGGGGTGAAGAACCCCTGGAGCTGCAGGAGGAGCTGAGGGGCAGATGTGGGGGCTGCAGGGTCATAACTGAAGGATGGGCTTCGGGCAGAAGTGATGTGGGTTTGGGGGCAGAATGAACAGCCGGGCTGGGGACAGGCAGATGTGGGAGTGGCAGGGACACAGAATTATTTGGGGTTTGGGGGAAAAGCTGGAGACTCCGCAGCAGCAGGGATACTAGCAGAGGGAGAGCCAGGGACTGGGGAGTGTGCATTCATCCCCATAGCTAGTAGAAATGAGTAACTAGCGTAGACACGTCCAACATTGATAGAAGGGGTTTTTCCATCAATGCAGTTAATACACCTCTTGGAGAGGCAGTAGGTAGGGAAACAAAGAATTCTTCCCTTGACCTATCTGCGTCTACATCGGGGTTAGATCAACCTAACTACATCGCACAGGGTGTGACATTTTTCACAGCTCTGAGCAGTGTAGCTAGGTTAACCTAAGGTTTAGGGGTGGACTAGGCCTCAGGATGAATAAGGGTATGTCTACACTATAGTGGCTAGAGTGGCACAGCTACAACGGTACAGCTGTGTCCCTGAAGTACAGTACTGTAGATGCTTCCTACATTGACAGAAGTGTTTTTTCCATCGCTGTAGTAATCCCCCTTTCTGAGAGGCCATAGCCAGGTCACCGGCAGAATTCCATTATCTACATCGGGGGTTAGGTCGATCTGGCTGTGGCACTCAGGGCACACAATGTTTCACAGCCCTGAGTGACATCACCTGGTTGATCTAAGTGTTAAGTGTAGAGCAGGTCTAAGAGGGGTTTCCCTGGAGCTGGCTGGAAACACAGAGTCTGAGGAACTGGCTGGAGCTTGTTGTGCGTGAGGCAGAAAGCCAAGAGAACCAGTCGTGAGTGTGATCCCAGGAGGAAATGGAGAGACAGAGCTGGCTTCAGGCACAGGATTCCCTGGAAAGGCAGACATGGAGTTCTGAGTAAGGAAACTGCCGGCTGCTGTTTGTTTGTCCCGTGTTCAGGGCACAGGAATGTGTGGACATTGTTTGTAAATAATAAAGATTGCACCAAAGAAATACCTGACTCCTATCATCAATTTCTCCTGCCAATGGAAGAACCTAGCAAGGCCCCAAACACTGGCTAACTGCTCAGGTCAAAGGAGCAATGGTACAACCCGAGTCAGAATCTAGACCTGTGGAGGCAAATGCGTTGGTGGGAAACATTTGCCGGGAGCTCCAGCAGCAAAGAGCCTGTGCAGAGGAGCAGATTGCTGCTCATTGTGGACTTGAGCATGTCCAGCTTTGTGTGCCGAGCAGTCCCCATTGTCCCTTCTCTCAGGCCTGACACTCCTCTGCCCAGAGTCAGACAAAGCCCAAACTGGCTCGTATTTCCCCCCAGCAGAACTGGTCCACACAGTGATTATGGGGTCAGTATTGGGCCAAGGAGAAAAAATGACAGGAAGAGACTGGGGCAGCTGGAATGGGACTGGGGATGGGGGTGGGGCGTGGGTAGGATTGTTACTTTCCCTTCTGTGCATGGAGTTTTACAAAGATTAAACCTAAAATCTTCTTTCCAGCTCTTAGCTGGCATTTTGAAGGGGCTGGGCTGTAACCTTTAGACTGTAACATCATAAAGCTTAGAGGATTTGCCATAATATCACCCTTCAGCTCCAGGGTTGCTTCTCCTGATTAATGAGCTGTTTACGTTTTCATGCCTTGTCACTAGCACACACCAGCTGCCTCTGACCTTTACCCAGGGAGCCCCCGTAGCCCGGCTGGTCCCAGGCGGGTAGTTAGATGTTCAGTAAGACACAGCCAAGCCAAGGCTCTTCTACACATGCATTGTAACTGAAATAACTCAATGGGGTTTAGTTCCCACCTAGTGTTTCAGTGCAGGTCTGTGTATGACTGTGGACACCCTCATTGTGAATTAAGAATGGCCTGGTTTGATTGAGGATACATCTACACAGCACCTGGGAGGTGTGATTCCCAGCTCGGGTAGACGTACACATGCTGACTGCTGGAGCTGGCACACTACCAATAGCAGTGTGGCCGTGGCACCAAGGGGGCGGCTTGGGCTAGCCACTGGAGTACAATCCAGCCCGACCCCCGCCTGGACACGTACTGTGTAGACAGACCCTGACTCTAAGCTTTTGTGTTCGTTAGTTTGTTTCCTTCTCCCCTTTTCCTTTCATTCCCTTCCTGCTTCTTTACACCCCACTCCTCCCGTTCCTTGCCTATGTAATTCCTGCTTTCTTCTTTCCTTATCTTTCTCCAGCTCCTCCTCCTGGGCTCTCCTTTCTCGTCACCTCATTCTGCACCTGTGCAGCTCATATGAGGTGGGACAGGGACCTGCCATTATCAGAAAAACCATTTCTGGTGCAGAGAGAACAGAAGATCAGAGATCCAGCAGTCATGGCCTCAGTGGCACCTGTACAGTAAATCGAAGAGGAAACCAAATGTCCCACCTGTCTGCAATATCTGACAGACCCAGTGACCACACACTGTGGGCACAATTTCTGCTGCGTCTGCATCACTTAGTACTGGGAGAAATGGGCAGAGCTGGGCTCGGACCCTTTGTGCTGCCCCACCTGCAGAGCCCGAATCCAGATATAGTGGAAAAAATCAAACAACTGGATTTCAAACCAGGAAGAGAATCTGTGTGAGATGCACGACAGAGCCCTAGATCTGTTCTGTGAAGAGACCGGGGAAGCCGTGTGTGTGGTTTGTGAGAGATTCCCCGAGCACAGATCTCACTCAGTGCTTCTCATGGAGGAGGCTGCCCAGAAATACCAGGTAGGACACACTGTGGAGCCGAGTTTATTCAATCCTTCCCTTCTCAAACTAAGTCTCTCAGAACCACAGTCTCCCAGTTTCCCAGATTTTCTCCCTGATTTCTGGTTCCACCTAAATCTCTGCCCTGCAGGCTCCTTCCTCTGGGCAGGTGCAGGGAGCCCTGGCCACTGATGCTGCCCCAGCCTGTCAACCCCGCACTGTTCTTTAGAGAGAGGTGGGCACCAGAGCTCTGGGTGAGGCACTTTCCTTGCACAGAGGATTGAAGCTGGATGTGTCCGTGCTGCCGCTAGGCAGGAATGGAAGGAACGAGCTGCTCCCACCACACCCCTGACAGCCCAGGCATTGCCAGCAGGGCATCCACATTAATCATGGACACAGCCGCCCTCGCTCTGCTGCACGGAACATGAGTGGGTTTAAACACAGGTGCTATGGGATATTCCCTAGGGACCCATCTCTGGAGTCACATGATTAAAAGAGATCCTCGGGTTTCATAATAAAAAAATCAGCAACCAAAAAGGAACCTTCTAGCCCCTATGACTGAAAAGATACATTTGAAAATGTGGCCTGAGCTTAACTGATATAGAGATCCTGAGCCAATAGGTGTGAGAGGAGGGAACTGCCCCATCCATCTCAATGGGCTTGTCTACAAAATTAGGTTGACTTAAGTTAGGTCGACCCACAGGCACCGCAGTAATTAAATCGACTGTTGATGTCCACACTGCCCTCCTGCCACTGGTGCAGGGACGCTTTCACTGACTGAAGTTTGGCATTGTGAGGCACTGACAGCCAGAGGGTGGGGCATTGACAGCCGGAGCCCTCCCCCACCCCGTCCATGGGCTAGCAGCTGGAGCCATAGAGGAAATGTGAAAAACTAGCAGCAGTGAAACTGACAAGAACATCAATTTCATGGCTTGTAGGCTCCCTGCTGTGAAACTGAGTCCTGCTGGAGGCTCACACCTTGGGCTGTCCCCTGGGGTGGGGGCTGCAGCTGTGATCCCAGGTCCCTACTGACAGCTGGGGGCCCCAGCTGTGAGCCCAGAGCCTGGTTGACGTCTCAGGATATCAGCACTGGGGCGGGAGGACTCCAGCAGTTAGCCCAGCTGTCAGCTGGGGTGTGGGGGCAGCTGTCAGTCCTGCGCCGATGTGAATGACTGCTCTGGAGTCCTCATCCACCACTCTCCAGCTGGGAGCTATGTGTGTGTGGCAGGCAGGGAAGGCAGTGCGCCCAGCTCCCTGGTACAAGAAAACAAACATGATACACAAATCGGCAGCTTACAGGTACTGAGGTCCCTGCCCCAAAGAGGTTGCAGTCTATGAAGATGAGTAGAGACAAATTCCCCCTCCTCTCCATTTGGGCGTGTACTTTATTTTCAAACACAGTTTGAGAACCTTCTGAATTTTCTGTTGTACTAAGATTGCATTTACCGAAAATAAATAATAGCCCTTTGACAGAGGCAGACCTTTTCTAAAAAAATCTGATTTCTACCCAGGACCATGGTTGAACTCAGTGTCTGTTTATTACTTGGGTTCAATGGCTGCAAAATTCACCTTTAAATCTCTCAACTCTCTGAGTCATTGCTAGCTAGCTTTCCACCCCCGAAGCTTCTCTCTCTCTCCATATGCTCAGTTTAGTTCTT